AAGTGGACCAGTAAGGAACAAGAGTTTTAGCTAGCATTGCCTTGTTAAGCCAGTACTTCATTTTGTTTAAAGTAGTGGGCCCTAATTTTAAAAAGTAACCATTGCAGAATTCTTCCCCCCCCCCGCCCACCCCCACCGTGTGCATCGACTGCAGTTCCACTTGACCATCAGTTGCCAGTCTGTTGTTGTCTGACGTGATTATTTGTCTTTTCGCAAAGCTTTCTCTCCCTTGGCTCCTACCTTTCTGACACTGTCTGTCTTCTCGAAGGCTCCCTCTTCTTTTCCACCTGGCTCTTCTGTATTAGTGATCCACGGGGCTTGGTCCCTTCAACCTACACTCCCTGAGCAAGGTCGTTGTGGATTTAATGATCACATAAATAAAAATGTGATCGTATAAATGTGAATCTTCAGACATCCTAAAGCCTGCATGTCCAACAGGTATTCCTTTCCCTCCTGTATTTTCCTTCCCAGTTAATGATGTTACCATCCACCCAGATCCCCATGTGGGAAACCTTGCTTTACCGCACACTTCCACGTAGTCATGGATTCCTGTCGTGTGTTCCTCCAAATCATCTCTCCTGGAGCCCTGGTGGCACAGTGGTTACGTGCTGGGCTGCTAGACGAAACATGCAAACTCAGCCAACAGCTCCAGGGGTGAACCACTAGGGCATCTTCTCCCGTGAAAGACAGCAGCTCAGGAAACCCATGGGTGATTCCGCTCTGTCATTCGAGGGCACCTAAGAACAACCACCCTCTAACTCTCGGCTGGTCTTCGATGGAAACCTCCATTCCTTTGACTGCAGTTTCTTCTACTGTCAAAGTTGTCTTCCCAAAACACAGATCTGGTCAAGGCTTAAGACCATGAATTCTTCCTTCTTTATAGACTGTTGCTGCTCACTGCCACCGCGTCTGAGCTGTAGCAACTGCGCGCGGAGAATGGCACACTGCACGGTCCTGCGCCATCCTCACAGTCGTTCCCCTGCTTGAGCACAGCGTTGTGGCTACTGTGCCCATCCATCTCGTGGAGGGCCTTCCTCGTGTTTGCTGCTTTACCTCCACTTTACCAAGCATGATGTCCTTCTCCAGGGACTGGTCTCTCCTGACAATATGTCCAAAGTATGAAAGATCAAGTCTCACCATCCTTGTCTCCAAGGTGCACTCTGGCTGCCCCTCCTCCAAGACAGACTTGTCCTTTGAGTTGTGCACCGTGCTTTCAGTGCTCTTCATCAGCACCACCATTCAAATGCATCGCTTCTTTGGTCTTCCTTATCAGCGTCCAACTTTCACATGCATACGAGGCAATGGAAAATACCATGGCCTGGGTCAGACACACCTTAGTCCTCAAAGTAACATCCTTGCTGTTCAATACTGTAAAGAGGTCTTGGGCAGCAGATTTACCTAAGGCAACACGTCTTTTGATCTTTTGACTGCTGCTTCCAAGAGCATTGATTGTGAGGCCAAGCAAGACAAAATCCTTGACAATTTCCACCGTTTCTCTGTTTAGCAGGATATTACCTCTTGGTCCCATTGTGAGGATTTTGGTCTTCTTCGTGTGGAGTCTTAATTTATGCTGAAATCTGCAGTCCTTGATCTTCATCAGCATGTGCTTCGAGTCCTCCTCACTTTCAGTAAGCAAGGTGTTAGATGCCATCAAATTGATTGGCCTTTGAGATAGTTTATTGTGCCAGCCTGGCTGATAAACACAAGTGGGATTAACTGGAGGGCAGAGAGATAAATGGCTTGGTGAGCCTTGCCTTTCTTGTCTCTCGCTCTGTGATCATCGGACCAGTGTGCGGCTGCCTTGCTTGTTCTGTGCCTCAATTTAAAGGCTACACTACCTGTGGGACGCCTAGCCTGTGGACTGTGTCGCTGTAAGTTGAAGTCCCTTTAAGACATCTCTGGAGCTGGGGACTAGCGGTTGGTGACCTGCCTTGTGATTGGCTGCTGTGCTGACATAGCCTAGCTCTCTCTACAAATAGAGGAAGATCTGGCAGCAGACTAGACTTGAAGGACTGCTAGTCTCTCAACTTTCTCTCACAGACATGAGTTGCACTGAGCCATTTGTAGTGCTTTCTAATTTAGCTGTTTATTTCTTGTATTATATATTTATCTGTATATGATTTAACAGTTCATTTATTGTTATGTATCTAATCATCTTTATAAATCAATATATTAAATTATCAGCAATTTGGTTTTATCTCTCTCGAGAACCCTGTCTAACACAGCCATCATAACGACCCTGTGTACATCAGAAGAAAACACTACCTGAGCCTTCACCACCATCACCAGTATTACAGCTAAGCTCACTGTGGCAGTCCCATGTCAGGCCATGTCATTCAGGGTCTTCCTTTTTGTTGTTGTTGCCTTTCTACTTGACCAAACGTGTCTTTTTCCAGGGACTGGTCTCTCCTGATAACACGTCCAACGTACAGGAGATGAAGGCTCACCATCCTCACTTCCAAGGCGCATTCTGGCTATACTTCTTCCAAGACAGTTTTCTTTTGTACTTCTGGCAGTCCACAGTATTTTCAATATTCTTCTCCAGAATCCTATTCAAGGAGATCAATTCTTTTGTTCTTCTTTATTTAGTGTCCAACTTTGAATTGCCTAGAAGGCGATTCAAAATAGCATGGCTTAGGTCAGGCAGTCCTTAATCCTCAAGGTGCCGTCCTGGCTCTTTAACGCTTCACAGAGGTCTTGCGCCACAGTTGCCCAGTGCAGCGTCGTTTGATTTCTTTACAGCTGATTGTGGATCCCAGTAAAGTGCAGTCCTTGACGCTGCTGGTCTCTTCTCTCTTTATCGTGATGTTAACCCATCGGTCCAGTTTGAGATTTGGGCTTTTCTACCCATTGAGGTGTCATCAGTACTGAAAGCTGCAATCCTTGATGTTCATCAGCAAGTACTTCAAGCCCTCCTCCCTTTCAGCAAGAAAGGTTGTGTCATCTGCACATCACAAGTTGTTAATAAGCCTTCCTGATGCTGCATTCCTCATACAATGTAGCATCTGTCAGTTACAGATGAATAACAGTGATGAAAGGATACAACTCTGGCACACACCCTTTCGGATTTTAAACCACTCGGCATCTTGCTTTATTTGAACAGGTTGTGCATGATCACCATGAAGTGTTCTGGAATTCCCATGCTTCTCAAGGCTATCTATAGTCTATTTACTTTGTTGTAAAGGCATACAGGTAAACATCGTTCTGGTTTTTTGGCTTCTGTTTTAAGCCCAGGTCCATCTGACATCAGCAATGATATCCTTTGTTCTACAACCTCTTCTGAATCCAGCTTGAATTTCTGGCTACCCCCTGTCAATGTACTGCTGCAGCCATGGTTGAATGGTCGTCAGCCAATATTTGCTTGCATGTGATATTAATGGTGTGTGTTAACGGTGTTCCGTATTTTGTGCATTTTGTTGGGTCACTTTGCTTTGGTATGGGCACAAATATGGATCTCTTCCAGGCTGTTAGCTAGGTAGCTGTCTTCCAAATTTCTTGACACAGATGAATGAGGGAGTGCTTCCAGTGCTTCATCAGCTTATTGAAACATTTCAGTTGGTATTCTATAAATTCCTGGAGCCCTTCTTTGGCTAATGCCTTAAGGGCAGCTTGGACTTTTTCCTTCAATATCTTTGGCTCTTGATCAAATGCTACCTCTTGAAGTGGTTCAATGTCAACTAGTTACTTTTAGTACAGTGACTATATATATTCCTTACATTTGTTTTGAAACTTCCTACATCATTGAACATTTTGTCCATAGAATCTTTTCATATTCCAGCTTGAAGCTTGAATGTTCTCTTGTGTTCTTACCGTTTAAGATGTGCCGAGTGCGTTTTTCTTTGGTTTTCTAACGCGACGTCTCTGCACGTTTCATTATAATACTTGATTTCCTCTTTTCTACTGCCCTCTGAAATGTTCTGTCCAGGTCTTGTGGGTCAACTTTCCCCACTTGTTTCAGTGCCCTCCCATCAAAAGCAAGTTTCAGGGTCCCTTCTGGCATCAACGTGGATCCTTTTTTTTTTCCTTTCCCGTTTTCGTCATGATCTTTTACTTTCGTCATGTATGTTGTTCTGGATATCGTCCCACAGGCCCTCCGTTCTGCTGTCAGGAGTGCTCAGTTCTCACAATTCACGCGGGGTATGTTGAAGGTCATGTTTGGTTCTCGTGGACTTGTTCTTACATCCAAGCAGTTGATGGTCTGCTCCATAGTCCTCCCCTGGCCTGGTTTGGCTTCTAATGTAGTGCTTCTCCACAGTCTGTTTTCATAGCCCAAGTCTATTTTATTCCTATATTCCATCTGGAGAAGTCCGCATATATAGTCGCCATTAATGTTGTTGAAAACAGGTACTTGCTATGAAGAAGTTGTTGGTCCTACAAGATGCTATCGTTCAGTTTCATTTGAAATTGAAATAGAAAGCTTCATTTCTGTTTCCAAGGCCGTATTTTCCAGCTATTGCCCCTTCCTCTTTGTTTCCATCATTCTCGTTCCAGTTATCAGGAGTTATCAGTTTTCACTGGATGTTTGATCAACTCCAGACCGAACCAGTTGATACAATCTCCAATTTCATCATCACTAGCTTTATTGGTTGCCACATACAATTGAATAATAATTGTATTCACTAGATTTCCTTGTATAGGTGTAGATATAATCCTGACATAGACTCCCATTGGTCAAATCAAACTGATGGCAACTAGTTGCATTTTGGTTTGGTTTTGTTCTTGAAGAGTGCTTGCACACTGCACCAGTGGCTCTGCGGGAGAAAGCTGAGGCTTCCTACTCCTTTAAAGAAGTACAGTCTCAGAAACCCACCGCAGCAGTTCCACCCTGTCCTATAGGGTCACTACCGGTTGACATTGACTTCATGAGTTTGTCTTAGTTTGGGAGGAGTTGGGTTTTTTAGTATTTTTACAGTACTAGACACACCAATTATAAAAGTTTGTCAAATGCTTATTGACTGGATACATTTTGGAAGCCAGTAACTAAATGGATAAAATCTTAGTCAGATGTCGGAGCGGTTGCAGATGTCGGAGCGGTTGCTCTGGGCGACATCGGGTCAGTTTTCTGCTCAGCAGTACGTGCGACAGTGGCACGGCCCGATAGAGCTTTTGGGCTACAATCTTTATAGAAACAGACCATCAGGTATTTCGAGGCAGGTAAGTTCAAACCTCCAACCGTTTGGTTAGCAAACAGGCAATTAACCATTGCACTACCAGGGCTCCTTAAAAGTTAGTCCTCTATCATTCTAATAGAAGCAACTTTTTGAATTGAGCTTTTGTCTAAGCTAACCTTTGGGTTTGAAACCGCTGGGGAACATGATCAGGGATGCTGGTCAGGCAGTGTCTTACAGTCTGTCCAGACGTGAGAGGCCTTTGTGGAAGGGACCCCTCACTCCAGTAGCTAACTTGCTTGGCAGCATTTATGGGTCTAGCCACGTTCAATATCATTTATAGAACTGCTGCTATAATTGATATAGTACTAGTCATCTCCTTCTGCTTCTAAATGAAAAACCAGTTCTAGTTTCCAAATCTCCCCCGCCCCATGAAAACGGCCACGGTTCTTCTGCATTCTGTGGAGGAAGAAAGCCGGTTCTGAGAATACAGACTCAATGTCCGGAAGATGCACTCCAAGGAGCCGCGATGGTACCAGTGGTCACACACTTAGCTGTGAACCTAAAGGCTGGAATCCAACCACCAGCCACTTAGGGGGAGAAAGCTGAGGCAGTCTTTTCCAACAAGATTTGCAGCCCTGGAAGCCCTCGGGAGCAGTTCTCGCCTGTCCTGAGGGGTCGCTAGGAATTGGCTCTGCAATCATGGATTGGGTTTTGAGTCTTCTATGCACATTTTCAGGAACAGCAGAAATAGTGGGCAGCAGCTCTGACACCGCTTTTCTGCGCATTGACTTTGAGTACTGTAATCCGATGCTACATTCCATGCTGTGTTGCTTTAAGCCCCAGACATCACCCAAATTACAGCCTGGCACTAACAACCCTCGGTTAGAGTGCTGCAGTGCTCTTCAGCTTCCTGCTGGGATGGCTTTTTGAGGAAGCAAGATTTCCTCAGAGACCACACTAACGCCTGGCAGTTTTGTGAGCACTTAGAAGTTTTGTGAGCACTGGCAGTTTTGTGAGCACTTAGAAGAATATGCCTGGCAGATTTTTATTAGAGAAATACTGAAAGCAAAATTGAGATAGTTTATGTTAATTAGGGTAGAGTGCTATTAAATCTTAGGGAAACTACTATGATTCTTCAATAAACGAAGGTATTTAATAAAGTACTTAACACTTCTTGCAACATACCGTATATACTTGAGTATAAGCTGACCCGAATATCAGCAGAGGCACCTAATGTTACCACAAAAACTGCATTAAAAAATGTGCTGAAAATCTCGTCTTGTTTCCACTGTACAGACTTAAAGGATTTCTCTCACTTTGCAACTCTCTTTTTCTTGATTATGAATTTGGAAGATTTTATAAAGCCTATAAATCAGCATTTAGGTGGACATTGACTTGTTGGCAATAACAGTGGCATCGTGTTGTCACATCTTCCAGATCTTTCAGCAAAGAGTGCCTCTGTTCCCGATGAACTGGGTGCCTGTGGACATTCCCGAACGTCAAGCTATGCAAGCCAGCAGTCGAAAGTCTCAGGTGGGTGGCAGTAGTCCAGTCCAACCCCTTAGACAGCTCTGGTTGAAGCTCCACTTGAAGCTGCGCTGGCGTAGGAGGAGATTGCTAGATTGCAGTTTGTGTTAGATAGCAGATTAAAGCCAAAGTGATTTTCTCCGGCAGGTTATAGCTCTTGTCACTCCCGGTCATCCAGCTTCTCTGAGCTCTGTCACAGAAGAAATACCTCAGTGGGAAGCACCTCAACAGGAATTGAAAGCATCCTCGAGCCATGTGATGAAACCGAGCCCCAAGTGGTTGACCCAAATCCTGACGCGACTGAAAAAGAAGATACCGCCCCGGAAAAACCCAGCAGGTATCCTTTTGTGTTTAAAAATAAAAATTTCATTTTCATAATATGATCAGAAGAAGGGATTTTTTTTCCCACCTTTTGTTCTTCACTTTCCAAGACACCCAGTGAAACAAGGTTCCGTGGAGTCGCAGCTGAAGCGAGTGGATGCCACCCGAGTGGATGCTGATGATATCGTGGAGAAGATCCTACAGAGCCAGGACTTCAGCCTGGATTCCAGTGCAGAAGGTGCGTCGGCATCTGTTCAGGCGAGGCCTTCACAGACCAGCTTTGTGCCGCCCCCATGGTCAGCCGTACCTCAGGACCAACTGACCGCGCAACATTTACCAAATCCCGTGGCTCAACAGTCTCATTTCTGTCTAAAAATGGATACTCAGGGGGGTTTGTTTTGTTTTTGTAAACCTTCACTAAAAGAAATGTTTTAAAGAAAGCGTAATTGTGATTTGAATTGTTTGTCAGCCTTACCTAAGCTGAGTGGTAGCTATTTCTGTTTGCTTCTGTCATGACTGGGCATGGGGCTTCAAGACACGAAAGTAATTTGGAATGTTGGGTGGTGGCCTTGAAGTGACCATGAGTAACAGGATCCTGGGTCCCCTCCTGGGCTTTCTCACCCAAACAGAAAATGTACCTGCCACCGATGTGAAAGGTATAATTAGAGCACTTAGCAGTGGGCTTGGTTTCCTTATGTAACTGTAGGGAGATCATTAAAATTTACTTGGTGCAGATTTTTAGGAAGAGCTGTCTTGATTGCTTGGAAGAAAAAGAGCTTTAGAAGTTTAATGAGCAATAACTGTCAGAATAGCTTACAAAAGCACCTGCAATTTGACTTCTGATGACATTTTAAACTTTTTAAAATAAAACAGAAATTTCAGATGAGTTCATATAATGCAAATCATTACGGACAAATGCAGGATGCTAATAACGAGCATTTTAAATGTGTATTGCAGAAGAAGGACTGAGGCTATTTGTGGGCCCCGGGGGAAGTACAACCTTTGGCAGTCATCATCTTCCAAACAGGTGCGTGTTCCAAATAGTACTGTGTTAAAACAGAGACTAGACTGCCTTCTTTTCAGGTGGTGATGCGTAGAGCATAAAGGTTGCAAAATCTTTGTATGGAGGCTAGAAAACAAATACTAGGTGAGGCGTTAGGTTAGACTCTCAAGAGCAGCAACGCCGGTGATGAGCGAAAAAAAGAGAGAAATTTATATCAAGAAAAGGTTCAGATGCTTGTAGAAGCAGCACATCCAGTCCGAATCCTGTGGGTCAGGTGTTAAGCTGTAGGCATCTCCTGACTCACATAACTTCAGGGGCTGATGAACCCAAGGTTAAGATTGGCAGCAACACCCCAGGCTGCTATCAGGCTGCAGAGATTGGATGAACCCAAGGTCAGGTTTGTGACTGTGAAAGAGATGAATGAATCCATGGTCAGCGGGTCAGACAGCAGTGGCTGATGGCTCCTGGCATCAGCAGGCAATATGGCAGGCTGTTAGCTTAAGTCCAGAGAACTAGAGGTGGATTAGCCGATGCAGGATCCATAACCAGCAAAAAGCAAGCAAGTGTTCCCACAGCTTCACTTATAGAGGCAATAGGCCACACCGCCAAGAAAACTTCCTTTCAGGTGCATTACGGCTGTGACCTGAGTAAGGGGATTGCATTGTACCCTAACATTTTTATAACTAATTGGCTACTCACTGCAGATCTCATTATGGAGTTGATTGTATTGTGTTACATCACATCATGGGGGAATTACTTGGCCATAGCTGCCAAATCACTGATAAGACTGGCCCAGCCAAATTGACACCAAGTTCAGCTAACACAGGAGTTAATAACATGCATAACCCACCCACTGCCATTAAGTGAATTCCTACTCAATAGTGACCCGCGATTTCCAAGGCTCTGTAACTCTTGATAGCCTTAACTCTCTCCCAAGAGCAGCTGTTGGGTTTGAACCGCTGACCTTACAGTTATCTGAAGTTATCTGCAAGTAATCCA